GTGTGTGTGTGTGTGTGTGTGTGTGTGTGTGTGTGTGTGTGTGTGTGAGAGAGAGAGAGAGAGAGCGAATGAGAACCCGCAGCACAGGTTTCCCAGATTGTGCCAATTTATGGTGCAGAGGGGCCATGTGCCGAAGCCCCCCTTTCCAGCTATCCAAAGAGGGTAGGGAGTGCCCCTAGACCTGGTCCCCCAGCAGCCACCCGGGACCAGAAGACAACCACAGGGACAACAGGGCACCATCCCAGAATGCAACCAGGGAATCCCCCCAGAAGAGCCCCCCACCGCCAAAAGGGCAGAAGCCCCCCAGGAACCATGAGCGACAGCAAACCAGCCACCACCAGGCCCCGTCCCCCAGACACAGGCCGAGAGCTACCCAAGCCTCGGGAGCCTGAGCGCCACCAACGCCCTTGGAAGAGTATTGTCTCCCTCCTCGTGAGTCGGAGGAGGATGCGCGCTCCCACCTACTCTGTCCTGTGCGTGCACTCTTGTGTTATGTTGAGCGCACCACTCAGATCTGTGGCTGTCAGCATCTGTTTGTGCACTACAGAGAAAGCGCTCTGGGGTACTGTAGAGAAGAATCCAATCACTGTAGATATAACTGTTAATATGACTCGTGTACTCTTGCAGCACTTACTGTTCACTGTATTACACAGATAGGCTACAGGAGCAAATGGCTCAAATATGACTTGATGTGACACATGTAGCCTTTAGTGTTTAGTGTTCATCCTAAAGGAAGATTACGCCTTGCTGACTAGATTCTGGGGTCAATAAATAGCAATGCAAATTTCTGTACACGTTTCGGTTTGCGATGGCATACGACTCACGTGCGGTCGTGCTGGGTCATTCTCAAGTTTGATTTTTCCTTTTTAATACATTTCTATTCCTTTACTTCCTCAGACGGACTAAGACTCTTATATGAACAATTCCACATCAAGTGCTCTCTGACAGCTCTGATGTCTGATTTGCTCTGTGAGGCCATCTCTCAGGTATACATCTTGTCTGGCTCTGTAGGTCTTAGGGCTCATTCCACCAGAGCGATTTTGTCTTCCACAGCTTTGCATAGAGGACTGTCAGTAGAGGACATCTGCACTGCAGCATCATGGTGGTCTCCTGGCTCATTCATTCATTTTTATCTATGGGATGTTTAGACTTTCTCCATGAATCATTCTGTTCTGAGTGACACGTCAGTGTGTCTCTCCTCTCAGCCCAGGACAATCTAATTTCAATTTCAGTTTCAATTTGACTTTTATAGCGCCAAAACACGGCAACAGTTATCTCAAAGCGCTTTTCATAGAGAAGAGGTCCAGACCATACTCTGAAGTTATTTACAGAGCATTAGGCAAGGAAAAACTCTGTTGGACCAACTTTCAATGCAAGGCCCATTGGGGCTGAACAGTTTTATTTCAGTTAAGGGCAATGGTATATGTTTATGGTTGTGGTACTGTACAGACCCAGTGAGGCAGTGACCCAGTAAACTACATCCTGCTTCGCCTTTAACCCATTATCGATAACCTTAAAGGGCGAAGCCTACATAAATAGAATGTTGGTTGGGAACCATTACCCCAGATTTGATAAGTATAGGTCCAGCCCTATAAGTTGTGGCTCGGTCTAAGGCTCTATTTGACTGTCTTTATGAATGGCTGAAGAAAATTAGCTGTTCTTTGGACCTGATATCTGGTTTCATTCCAATTTACACTTGAAGCCGAGGTCAGGCCCCCCCAACAGGTGGGCATGGACTAACGTTTTCAGTGCTGTGCATGCATGCGTGCAGAAGGATGAACCCATTAGCTATAGTGTTGTAGGGCTGTGCCTATACTCATTGAATCTGGGGTTACAGTTCGTAACCGAAGTTTCACAACTTAGATTGCACCTTATAGCCAAATTAAAAACACTACAATTACAGTGTGGCAACACGAGGAAAAAAATGTTGAAAAACCAAACATCTTAAAGGAACAATACAGATATTAAAACGGTAGTATTAAGAAGCATATTCCGAATAGAAACAAAACATAGATATAGTTGTGAAAATTGGGATTGGTGGAATTTCACATATAAAATCAAAGACATACATCACATTCGCTAAAACAGCACCTATCAGCCTGCCAGAATTTTTTTAAACAGTAATAATGTTTTTTATGTTGCTTAGACCCATTGACTTTCACAGAACAACAAAGGAAAATGTTAATTCTTAGCAAGGATAATAAGAATACACTATTTTACCACAACAAATTTAGTAAAATACTTTACACAAAAACTGTGAAATTTTGAAAATGACATTAAAAACCTCTCTCAGTATGACACACCTACAAATACGAATGCAGTCAATGAAACTATGTTGTATCCAATAGAATAAGGAACAAGATTATATTAATCGGCAGAACTGACGAATCAAATTAATTACATACGACATTCTCGATTACATACTGCTTGTTTGTGGCCATAGTTCCAGAGTTAACTACACATTTATGTCATGGTAACTGGTTTGACCCAGCTTCGAAAGTGTGCCATGAATGCAGCATACACTGTGTTCCTTTTCTTGTTAGCACTGTTGTTGAACACTCATTGACAGTATCCAATTATAAACGAAAGGTAAGGTTGGAGCATCGTTGTACTTTTTATTGCACGTTTGAGATTGGACGTATCGAAGTTTAAATGGACGATGATTTTATGACTGCATTTACCTTTAGGAATTTGAGTATTGCTTGACTTGCTAAGATGACGGACACAGGGACATTAGTCAATTCTTATTCGGGGTAACATTATTGTTAAATTCGGTTAACCTGTGAGTGCAATTTGTAGTTTAGTTTAATGCAGATATTTCAGTTGAATGATGAGACCTATAACGGCGTAATATTTGTAATTCAGGATATAAGCACAATATTCGCCCATGCTATCTAGCTAACCAGCCAGTCTGAATAAAGCGCAATTGAACTATTGTTTATGAATGTGTCTGTGAGATCACGTTTGAAGAGTTGCGTGTGTACTAATGTTGTGTTAATAGTCATGCAGTATTGAAAAAATATATTTCATATCAAATTGTTTGCTAATATATAGCATATAGCAGTTATTTTTATGTTCTATTGCATTGGTTTTCTTTGTCAGCGAAGGCCCGCTAATATAGGAAAGCTAACTTGCTGCCAACTAAAATTAGCAAAATAGCACAGTAAAGTTTGATGATTATAGAGTAAGAACATTACTATAATTGGTTTATGCTATTAATTTTTAAATATTTGGATATATACAGTTGCTCGACCGTAACAAAAAAAAGCACGCAGTTACGAATTTACCATCTAAGTAATGCTTCAGTCGAAGTCATTGCTGATAGTTCTGTCTTGACAGACTTCCGAGCGTTCACCTGGAAATGTGAAAAATACACAGACTTCACGAAATTCTGCTTTTCTTTTTTATATCCAGATGGCAGAGAATGACGTTGATAATGAACTTCTGGACTATGATGATGATGAAGAACCCCAAGGGCTCCCAGAAAGCGGTACCCAAGCAAGCAAGAAGGAAGTGAAGGGGTCATATGTTTCCATCCACAGCTCAGGGTTCAGAGACTTTCTTCTCAAACCAGAGCTGCTCCGTGCCATTGTGGACTGTGGTTTTGAGCATCCTTCTGAAGGTGACTTGCATTTTTGTTTACTTAAATAAAAAAATATTGAATAGTGTCAGTTTTGCAAACTGAAATAAAAATGGTTACAAGGTTACCAATCTAAAAAATTAAGTAGAGATCATGGAATCTAAAAACAGAGATAAAAATCACTGCAAGTCTTGGTAGAAAGTCTGCCTTTTAATAAGTTGGTGTCACATTTCCTTGTGTATAGCCCACTGTTCATCAGAATTAGAAATATGGAAAACCATTGCAACCACAGAAATTTGTTGTCATTTAGTTTTTACAGCAAATTGAATGCATGAACTGACTCCCTCATTTGCCCTTGTATGTGTTTGATTGAAACTACTGCTGAAAACATGCAATGTTTTAGTAAAATGTTACGATAAAACAACATTTTTTAAAACATTTAAAAACAGGATAAAATTATCCTATTTAAAGCTTAAATTCGTAATGCAGGGTGTTGGAAAAAATGCAATATAATTTGGGATCATTATTAATTGTTGGAAAACATAGAAAAAGTATTTTACATGGAATTTCTTATGCCCCCTTTCTTTGTACCTACTCAACTCTACTCATCTTGCCTCGACTCTGTAAGATCGAAACATCACGATGACCTGAAAGTCCTGATGTGTGTCTTGAATGCTTCGCAATCATAACCCAGCAGAAAAGGATATTGTTGTAATTTACCTGCTGAGCCTTGTAGTTTTAGAATTCTGTTCGTTGAAGTTGAACTATTTATCCCATTGACTAATTGTTGCAATGCTTTTAAAACAAGCAGCATTCACTTTTATGACTCATCTAATCATGTGACCCCCTACTCCAGGGGTGTCAAACTCCAGTCCCCAGGGCAGCTGTCCTGCCTATTTTAGACATTTTACTGCTTCTGCACACTCGATTCTTATTAAATTGGATCTCCTCTGGACATTGTTGAGCTTTGCACCTGACTAAAAATGGCCGTTTGATGTGAATCAGGTGTGTTACCTCGAAAACCTGCAGGACAGTGGCCCTCGAAGACTGGAGTTTGACACCCCTGCCCTAGTCAATAATTTCCCTTAAAGGGGACATAATATGCACAACCAAGTTTTTAATCATTTGATGATTTACATTTGGGACTGTGGAGGGCATATCAGCAGGCAAAGTGTGAAAAAAATGACTCAGTCATATTTTTGTGGGCTGCCTCAGTCTCAATACAGGAAAAAAATCAGGCGGTTTCAGGTATCGGTAGTTTATGACGTCATTAGCTCTAGCTCATTATAATATTCCAGCCTATCACCTGCATGTTGCCACCCACCTCAGCTTATTCCGCCTATCTGTGGCAGACGTGATGGTAGCGTGAGTGTCAGCGTGGCGTAGCGTAGCGTTAGCGTGCCGACTTCGGCACACCTCCCGGAAGAAGTGGGTGGATTGCCTGTGTCTCATTTGCATTTAGAGAGACAGGCATACAAAACCTATCGCTCTGAACGGGAACGGCAGGGTGATTGAACTGCTATTGTGCTTCATCCTTATGGTATTTTGACCAAAGCTTGTCACAGACATTACATAAGGACACCAGGGAACTAGTTTAACTTGTTGAAATAGGGTATAATATGTCTCCTTTAAGTATTTAGTTGGCTTGACTCTGCTTGCTTTGAACCCTTGTTGAATAGGTGCTAAACGTTTAACTGTTAGAAGGCATTTTAGCATTTTCTGGATGAAATACTTGAGTCACGTTTAGTAGGTACTAGCACATAAACCTTTATTATTGGTGTCGTTTTCTTTATCTTCAGTTCAACATGAGTGTATTCCTCAAGCTATCCTGGGCATGGATATCCTGTGTCAGGCCAAGTCTGGTATGGGAAAGACAGCTGTCTTTGTTCTTGCCACACTGCAGCAGATTGAGCCAGTGGATGGGCAGGTGAGTTGCTAAAAAAATTGACCAGCTCATTTTTCATGCTGAGTCATTATGTCTTTATTCTTCTTTATTTAAGTAATCAAGCATAGTGCCATAAAATACATGTAATCTACAGATGCAGCCTGTGGGTTGAATAAACACAAATGTCTTTCTCAGGTATCTGTTCTTGTGATGTGTCACACTCGAGAGTTGGCCTTCCAGATTAGTAAAGAGTACGAGCGCTTCTCCAAATACATGCCCAGTGTCAAGGTGTCTGTATTTTTTGGTGGCCTGGCCATCAAGAAGGATGAGGAAGTCCTAAAGAAGAACTGCCCTCACATTGTTGTGGGAACTCCAGGACGAACCTTAGCACTCATTCGTAATAAGACCCTTAGTGTGAAAAACATCAAACACTTTGTGCTCGACGAGTGTGACAAGATGCTGGAGCAGCTGGGTGAGTATTTGAATGTTTTTTTCAAAATCTTACACACATAATGTATAATGTATACCAATGATGATGAATCATTTTGGATATTCAATAGATATGAGGCGTGATGTCCAGGAAATTTTCAGACTGACACCCCATGAGAAGCAAGTTATGATGTTCAGCGCAACTTTAAGCAAGGAGATCCGCCCTGTCTGCCGCAAGTTCATGCAGGATGTGAGTATGGTGTTGTGGTGGTGAGGTGGTTAACACCTTCCCCTCGCAGCAAGAGGGTTCTGGGTTCGAGTCCTGGGGGATCCAGGACCTTTCTGTGTTGGAGTTTGCACGTTCTCCCCCTGTCTGTGTGGCTTCTCTCTGGGTTCCTCCCACAGTCCAAAAACCTTCATGTTAGGTTGATTGGACATTCCAAATTGCCCTTAGGTGTGAGTGTGGTGTGGTTGTTTGTCCTTATATGTGTCTGTGTCCTACTATGCAGGGTGTATGCTGCCTCTCGCCCATTTACCACTGGGATAGGCTCCTGTTCCCGCTGCGATCCCATTAGGGAATAAGCGGTTACGATAATGGATGGATTTTTTAAAACATTTTTTATTTTGTGAGAGCATTACAATACAGTGGTAGTTACTTTCATGGAATGTACAATGTTACTATTGCCACTCACAATAATTTTTTTTGTGTAATATAACAAGTTAAATTAAATCCACACTTTTAACAAAGTGTGGATGATAGACTTACATGGAAAAGCAAAAAATACATAAATAAAATGTCCACCCGGCAGTTTTGAAATAAAGTGTGGGAGATACATTACATTAAATACAACAAAACATTCAAGTAAAATAAAATAAATAACAGCTTTGCATGGTTATCCATTCCGTACTGTCTGTTCAAGACCAGCATATTTAACCCACTTGGCACACCTTTTAGTGAATATGTTTTTTTTTAAGTCGGAGGGAGAAGGTGATCCCTTCCATAAGGTAAATGCCATTTATGATACTTATCCACTTCTGTATTGTGGTTGGATCGGGGGTCGACCAGCGTCTTGTGAGTGCTTTTTTACCAGCGGTTATGAAAATATCAAATAAGTATCCTTCAGCTTTCCTGACCTGTAAACCAAAATTTCCTAAAACTAATGTCGAAAACTGCATAGGTAGATTAGTGTTAAATAGACTTTATGGAGCTCTGTCCAGAACAGTTTAACCACTGGGCATTCCCAAAAGATATGCCAGTGATTGGCTTTCCGGTGTCCGCATTGCCTCCAACACAGCTTCCCCTCCAGTAAAATGTGTCTTTTGTTTTGGTGGAATAAAGAAAAGAATCATACACTTCCAACCAATATACCAATAGCGAGTTTGCGAAATTTGAACTGCAAAGTAGCGAAGGATCACTGTAGTCAAATAATTAAAAACATTACACAATCTCATTAAACAGGCAATCGCATAACTTTTGTGGTGGAAATGTTCATTTTCACTGAGTGACACAAGTTTTCTTTTGATGGCCAGGAGATAGCAGTTTTATTCAACCAGAACTTGAAACAAAGTGAGAACCTTTTAGCACACTACACAAAGCGGTCAGTATGACATAATATGCTCTCATTGTACAGAAACTTGCACTAGTCAGTTATTGGAGTCAAGTCAGTTATTTAAATAAGTAAGTTATGACATACTGCACTGTGCACGGGTATGTAGATGCCCCTCATTTATCTATGTGTCGTCAGAAAAATAAAAACATAAAACTGCATAAAGCTGCCTCAGTTGTTACAGTAAAAACTAGAAATGACTGAGGAACAGAAATTCTTCTTGTATTTTTACCATCAGGAATTCAACGGAACTATCCTCTTTTAACATGCTTTTACATTTCTGATGTAGTGCAGGGAGTTCTATATGAATAAGACAGATTCTGGTTCTGTTTTTCTTTCTTGCTTTGTAGCCAATGGAAGTATTTGTGGATGATGAGACCAAACTGACTCTTCATGGCCTACAGCAGTATTACTGCAAGTTGAAGGACAGTGAGAAGAACCGAAAGCTGTTTGACCTCCTCGATGTGCTTGAGTTCAATCAGGTATTGCTGACCCTCCTTAGAAATTCATTGAAAATAATAATAATAATAAATTGTATTTATAGTATTATAAATAAAATGTAAATGTAAAACTTTACATGATAAAAATCTCAAAGTGCTACAATGAGCAAATTAGTTAATAAAAACAACAGGAGACAAGAGCCATAAAATACAGATAAAAGATTAAATAAAGACAATGATTAAGTGCATTTCAATAATCATATCTGTCAAATGTCAATATTCATCTGTAGCCTTCCTCTATAACTATATCATTTCATATCTCCCTTAAGAGCTGTGGCTCTTCAGGAATGCAGTATCTGATTTTAAAAACTCAGGAGTTTCTTTTGGTTTCCAAAAGGTGGTAATCTTTGTAAAATCGGTGAATCGCTGCGTTGCTCTATCACAACTGTTGGTGGAGCAGAACTTCCCTGCTATTGCAATCCACAGGGGTATGGCACAAGAAGAAAGGTATGTGATGCTTCACAGCTATTTATCTGGGTTTTCCATTAGTATATATTCAGCCCTACATGTTTCTTCTCAGCTCACCAGATCTCATCTCTGTTTAGGTGGTCTTCAATTACAAATTAGTTCTTATTAGAAAGATAGACGAGACTGGCCAGGGGTGTTATTTAAATGCAACACAAGCACAAAACAACAATAAAGGGCATTGTGGGAACCATATACCTAAACCTTGGTGTGGAACCGCAGTGTTGGTTCATGCACTCGGTCATCACAATGTTGATGATCACAGAAATAATGAAATCAAACACTTGTTACTGTAATTTTAGATGGGCATGAATCGTTGGCCAAATCATGCAAGGCAGTCTTCGTTGCATATTAGTGGGCCAGCACTCTGCTGTCGGCCCAACTCACCCCACTTATAACCCCACCAGAGTAGGGGCTAAAGCAACTATGACTGTTAAAAAAAAATGGCATAGTCAAGCCAAGTAGGGTTAAGTAGGTCTAGTTGAAAACCCCCATTAAACTATTCTCACTCCATTGTGGTCAAATCCACTAGTTACGTTTTCCCTGCTGACCTTCTGTCTGAAACCCCCCATCCCCACCCCCAAAGATTATCCCGGTACCAGCAATTCAAAGACTTTCAGAGGCGGATACTGGTGGCAACCAACCTCTTTGGCCGTGGCATGGATATTGAACGAGTCAACATTGTCTTCAATTACGACATGCCAGAGGATTCTGACACATACCTCCATAGAGTGAGTTCAACTTGGAAACTATTGTCATCACTGACATCGTATTTATTTCACAGTATTGTGACAAACAATTTTTTACTTTATTTGCAGTAATGTTTCTTTTACAGAGATTCTGCTTTGAGCCCTTATTTTCTTCTCCTGACCTAGGTGGCCCGTGCTGGCAGGTTTGGGACCAAAGGTCTGGCCATCACATTTGTATCAGATGAGGCTGATGCAAAAACGCTGAACGAGGTCCAAGACCGCTTCGAGGTCAACGTAGCGGAGCTACCAGACGAAATTGATATTTCCTCCTACAGTAAGTTTTCTTGTTGACATATGTTTTTCTCTGCACTAGAGGAAGACATCCTGCAGTATGAGAAATTTTAAATATTACAGTGGCAACAAGCATGTTTTTAGGGTAACGGTCTGTTACTCATCACGGCTCTTGTCTTGATTAATTGAGATTGATATTAACTCTTAGTTATTGACAACATAGGAACAGGGCTTTTAAAATAGTAGGCCTAATAAAACAAATAATTCTTGTATAGAAATGCTCTAATCTGTGGCATCCCATATTATAACCAGTGAATTATCTACAATGTCACCTACAAATCTTCTTGTTTGTTTTTTTTTTGCAGTTGAGCAGGCCAGATGAGTTTGAAGTGTACTTATGGACAGTGTGTGTCCCTTGTCGCTGTATTCTTGATAGAAGACAAAGAAAAGCCTCAACATTGGTTTAAATATCTCTCCTTCCCACCAATAGAAAGAAACTTTTTTTTCTCTCATGTCCTTGCAGAGTGCTTATTTTAAGTCTTTCCATGTTAAAGATAAGGATGTGCTGTTTTGGTTTGAGAAATAAATCTTTTTGTAACTTATTTTGTGTTTGTTTAAGTTTTGCACATCTCTGATCTTTAGTTATTTTTTATACACGCACAACACAAATACATTTTAAGTGTAGGCAGTTACACTCACAAGCAGATGGCACTATTGGCATATTTTTAGACCTGCTTAACAGATGGTGACATCTGCTTAACAGATACCAAGAAGCAGAATTTCACATGAAACATGAACTCAAAAGCAAGTTTTATCCAATGGAAGAAACAACCAAAACTTTTCATTGCTTCCTTTAGTGGCTTATTTGATAAATGTATAAATGTGACAAACATAAATGTACTGATAGAATAGAGTTTGACCCATAATAAATACCTAAAACACAAATGTGTCTAAGTCGCATTGAATTCAAAACAAAAAAACACTTGGTACTTGTTCACCCCTTGATTGACACTTCATAGTGTTTTTTGTAATTTATTAGTCTTAGCTATAACTATACGATGCCACCTGTTTAAGAATATCTCTGGCAAACATTATTGTGCAGGGATCGGGGGCATCAAATTAACAGTGAGGTGATTATGTTATGACACTTTTTTCGTTCACTGTTGACACTTCCAAATACAAGTGCAAAGTAAAGTATGTTGTTTTTCTTGCGTTTCTTCTAAGATGAAGAGAGCATCTCAAATCTGCCACACATGAACTAGAAATCGGCTCAGGGTGCAGGTTGCCCAGGACTAATTACGATTCTTCATGAGTTATACCAGGAGCAGGTGAGGGAGTAGTCTAATCTGGCCACTCTTGTTATCTAATTCGTTGCTCTGATAATTGTGAATCCAAAAAGGCCATTCTTCTCAATATTGGATGCCTTGGAACCATTTTTTTTTTTTAATTCCACATCTTGCCCTCATCAATTTAAAATGGTAGAGAAAAATTTGTTTTGGCCTGTCAATTTGTATTTGTCTCTATACACCAAGCACTGTGGAGAAAGGGCTACTTCATTGAGGAGCCCGAAGCATTTGAATAACTGGGTTAACGTAACACATTTACTCTTTCCATGTAGTGCATGTGTGGTCTGGCAAGCAGGATCATCCATCTGCGCACACACGTTTGTTGTTTGGCCAAGAGGCGGACATATATTCTGTGTTGGACAGACAAATATTGGCTGGGGTTTAAGATTTAGGGAACGGCTCCTGCCATTCTGCGGTTGGATTATAAAAGCAATGAGATAAATTTGGTTCCTCTGTTCCTCTCATCATAAACAATTTCTTTTAAGAATTTGAAGAAATTTGCTAAATTTTTCCAGGATAATAGACAAGGAAAGTAAGGAAAGTAATTTCTTCACTAAATAATTTCAACCCGACAATCTGCTCCCACAAGAAACTTTGGTTAGGGAGAAGTTTTTTCAAATTCAAAGGAGAAATTGTGTATGATGAGACGGATGATAAAACCCAAACAGCTAACGATGAGGAATTATCTGTCTCTCATATGTCTGGTACACTTATAAACCAGCTGTTCTAATCCATGTATTTCATTTAGGAAAAGAATCTTGGTTCACAACAACAAAACAAAGAAAAATAATGTGGAAATAATCTGTTCCCCTTTTGTAAGGAGTGCTTTAGACAGAGTGGTATCCTACAATTTTCACATAAAGTGTTGTTGGTAAAATGACAACAAGAAGATTCTGGGTTCGAGTCCGAGGGGACCAAGGACCTTTCTGGGTGGAGTCTGCATGGTCTCCTTGTGTCTGCGTGGGTTCTCTCCGGGTTCTCCGGCTTCCTCCCACAGTCCAAAAACCTGCATGTTAGGTTGATTGGACATTCCAAATTGCCCTTAGAAGTGAATGGTTGTTTGTCCTTGTATGTCCTGTGTGTTGCCCTGCGATGGACTGGCGGACTGTCCTGCCTCTCGCCCGTTGACCACTGGGATAGGCACCAGTTCCCCCCGTGACCCCATCAGGGAATAAGCTGTATTGATAATGGATGGATGGATGGATTTGTCACTGCCGTTGACAGTAAAACAAACAAAGAACTTGAATCAATTCATCTATGCACCGTCTATACCTTTATTCCTAGTACGTTGAGCCTATCCCAGGTGACATTGGACAGTCTGCCAGTGTATAAGGACCATGGTATCCTCAAAGGATATGGTGGAAGTTGTGGTCAAGACATGGGTATATGCTGTTTTAGTACAAGTACCTGTTTTTATTTTATAAACAAGATGAGACATGTTTATAGAATCTAAAATATATATAGTACATATGTCAACATATATCAACATTTTGTTTAAATATATATATATATATATATGAACATATATATTATTATTCAAACTATGATGAGAACAGTGGCACAATTGACTTTGCTGATGACTGTTGCTCTGAAAACTGATGAAAATGTGGTGTTTTGGAATTTAGAAAGCTATTCTTTTTTAATTTAATCTTTTTTGCTCTATTTTAGTTTTTCAAAAATTTAACAAGCATAAATGAACATACAGCAGCCAGATGCACATCACAGGTTAACAATGCACACACAGAGCCTATATACAGGGGGTGGACAATGAAACTGAAACACCTTGTTTTGGACCACAATACTTTATTAGTATGGTGTAGGGCCTCCTTTTGCGGCCAATACAGCGTTAATTCGGCTTGGGAATGACATATACAAGTCCTGCACAGTGGTCAGAGGGATTTTAAGCCATTCTTCTAGCAGGATAGTGGCCAGGTCACAACGTGATGCTGGTGGAGGAAAATGTTTCCTGACTCGCTCCTCCAAAACACCCCAAAGTGGCTCAATAATATTTAGATCTGGTGACTGTGCAGGCCATAGGAGATGTTCAACTTCACTTTCATGTTCATCAAACCAATCTTTCACCAGTCTTGCTGTGTGTATTGTTGCATTGTCATCCTGATACACGGCACCTCCTTCAGGATACAATGTTTGAACCATTGGATGCACATGGTCCTCCAGAATGGTTCTGTAGTCCTTGGCAGTGACGTGCCCATCTAGCACAAGTATGGGGCCAAGGGAATGCCATGATATGGCAGCCCAAACCATCACTGATCCACCCCCATGCTTCACTCTGGGCATGCACCAGTCTGGGTGGTACGCTTCTTTGGGGCTTCTACACCCCGTAACTCTCCCGGATGTGGGGAAAACAGTAAAGGCGGACTCATCAGAGAACAATACATGTTTCACATTGTCCACATCCCAAGATTTGCGCTCCTTGCACCATTGAAACCGACGTTTGGCATTGGCATGAGTGACCAAAGGTTTGGCTATAGCAACCCGGCCGTGTATATTGACCCTGTGGAGCTCCAAACGGACAGTTTTGGTGGAAACAGGAGAGTTGAGGTGCACATTTAATTCTGCCGTGATTTGGGCGGCCGTGGTTTTATGTTTTTTGGATACAATCCACGTTAGCACCCGAAAATCCCTTTCAGACAGCTTCCTCTTGCGTCCACCGTTAATCCTGTTGGATGTGGTTCATCCTTCTTGGTGGTATGCTGAAATTACCCTGGAGACCGTGGCTCTTGATACATCACAAAGACTTGCTGTCTGGGTCACAGATGCGCCAGCAAGACGTGCACCAACAATTGGTCCTCTTTTGAACTCTGTTATGTCACCCATAATGTTGTGTGCATTGCAATATTTTGAGCAAAACTGTGCTTTTACCCTACTAATTGGACCTTCACAGTCTGTTCTTATTGGTTCAATGTGCAATTAATGAAGATTGGCCACCAGGCTGGTCAAATTTAGCCATGAAATCTCCCACACTAAAATGAGAGGTGTTTCAGTTTCATTGTCCAACCCCTGTATGTATATACATTCATACATATACATGTGTATATACACCCAAAAAGCTTCATCGTTCAGTTTAAATTGTATTTACCTTTCAATTGGCTGAATGATGCAAACTTATGGTCTATATACATATCCTTAATTGACACCAACCACCTTTCCCTCAAATCGTTATAGGCTTTGTCCTGCCACGGAGGGAGTAAACTGTGATTAAAACAGAACGGGGTATGTACTGATGTAATTGGCAGGCCAATAATCTAATTCAGGATTCTTACTTGGTGTTTTAGCACAAAACTCAAATTCCAATAGGCTTCTGGTTTTTCAAGGTTGGCGAACAACATAGCTGGTAAAGAGGTATTATTCACCAAATTCGCTTCCATCTTGAGCCACAGAGGAGTTTTAGCTATTGGGTTTTCCCACCTGCAGACCGAGGAAGCTGGAATGAACACAAACTGTGGTGCAAGCTGATGCTGCTGATCTAGTAAACAGTCTTCCTTGTTGCAAAAAAAAGGTTTAACTTGTTCAACCAGAACTGTTTAACCAAATCAACCAGTGCTCGAAGCATTTCAGCACAGTCACTCGGCCCCATGTGAGAGCATTTTTTCAAAGGAAGGAGAAATTATCTCCTAAAAAAGAAACAGACTCAGCCCAGGCACTGTGGAAAAAATCTCGTTCCTCAATGAAAAACACATGAATTTACCTTATATTCAATGTGCGTTTATTTTACCAGTATTTTCAATCCCCAGTTCATGAGCTGGACCAGGTAAAAAAAGAATTGTACAAGAAATACATAAAATATAAGTTACAATATGATATACATAAATATAGGCTGCATGTCTTCTGATTAATTACATGTGGAGACCTCACAGCAAAAGCATACTCCCAAGCTTATAGTCTTGTGTTGTACATTATATGTACCGTAATGGTATTTTAATGTTTACAAATATCAAGATACATTCTGTTCAAAGAGTTACACACTGTAAATGTTCAAAGTAGCCTGGTACAGACAAAACTGTCACATGATATTGAACTCCTAAGACCGGAGCTTTTGTCTGGTGTGCATTTTTTATTTTCGTCCACCTGCTGTTTGGGATGTGTATAAAAATTGTATATTATGATTATAATAAAAATACATTCAATGTATATCACACATTAAGGGCCGGATATAAAACAATTATAATAAAAACATAAAGTACATACATTAAAGGTCACTTTAAAAGAAACTCAATGAGGCTGTACAAAAAAAAGACATGGTGCTGAAATATAATGTCGAGGTATGTGTATGCAGGATCTTAAAAGGTTAAACAGAAGCTGTCACTGGACACAGAGGGCAATAATAATGAAGCAGTTCATTTTAATTTTGAGATCCAGGGTGCTATTAAAACTTTTGACCACCAAATTGGCATGAGAGATGGTTTTGTTGAAAAGCTCCAAACACCCTTTTTTGATACAAGCTTCAATGCTTCAGAAAGCTTAATTTTGCCATCACTTCTACTAACCATTCTAGTGTATATATTCTCCAATAGACTCTTCTTCAACCTTTGATGTAAGCAAGAATATTGCTCAGGTTCCTCAATTTCGAGAAACTGAAGTTGAAGCTTGATCCAATGCTTTGAAGACTCTATTGTGGCTTTGCAATGGCCTACTGGCGTATGTTCTCTTCAATTCAAACTGTCTGGAAAGGCACAAGAAGTCTATTTAGCGTTTAGCATTCTCTGGTGTAAGGAAAAAGTCATAAATGCCATGCTAAGTATATTAACTGAAATGGGTTTTCATTTGCACCATATAGCCCATTTTCTGATTCATGGATAAAATTACTGATGATTAATCCAAACTGTATTTTACTTCTATGCATTACTTCTGTATTACTTGCAGTGTGAATTAGTTCAACCAACTCTAAGTTTGTTCATCCAGAGTTTGTTTTTTATTATTATTGCATGTGCTCATTGCAGAAATGTTATCAGTTGAGTTGTAGAAAGTTGCACTCTCCTGGGAAAGAGGTTCCATTCCTAGTACCATGATGTATGCCCAAAGAAGATGACGACCACCACCACATTATATGAACCTTCGTACAACTTATTTCCAGGCCACATTCCATAATTTTTGTATATTTCTTTATTTGGTAGCTTTATGGTATTAATAGTGTAATAATGTTGACAATGTTGTTGTGAATGTCATATGTACACACACACACACACACACACACACACACACACACACACACACACACACACACACACACGCACACACACACACACACACACACACACACTCACACACATATATATATGTGTGTGCAGAGACAACAGTTTGCTGTTTCTGGTTGGCCTGGTTTCACAGGACAAAGCATATACACATATAGAAAGACTATACATAGAATATACATATAATACATATATATATATATATATATATACATATATAATTTCTTATTTTTTACAGCAAAGTTGCTTAAACCTTGAGGGAGGAAATCATAGCTTTGTGTCTTTTTATTCATTCCAGAGGACTGAAATTCTTGACGCATTGTGTAAACATAAACAGAAAAAAAATACTATATCCTTGTTCTGTACTTAAAAATTTTAAACAGATATATCTTTTACCAATCACGATTTGATAATTCAGAACTTAACTTTGAATTTGCAAACACTTACACTGATATCAAATAAACCAAGGAACATTCATCTATTTCTCACTCCCCCCCCTACTTTTGTCTCTTGCTGCCCCATTTCTAATCAACAGTTTTATATTGCAGTTGCTGACAGTTTTTTTTGTAAGAGATCAAACATCTCTCGGGGCAAATTGATGGATTGATGTGAATGGTTAAACAAGAACAAGAACGAAAAACATAAAAAAATACTATAATCCATTCTCACTATTATTTATTTACAATTTTTCCATCACAGAAGACCCAATGACTCCATCAGAGAGGTCTGCAGGCTTACTTACAGATTACTTACTGAAAAATTGTTTTGTTTTGCCATTTCTTCTTCTTTGTCAACCTCTGACCACAGATGACTGCTTTGATTGCAATTCTCAGACTTAGAATTCAGCTTGATATGCTTCCATTATCAAGGCTTAGACCCAAAGTGGGGCCAACTCCAAGAGACATAAATCATGTGCTCATCCTTTGTCCAACTACTTAAAAATTTAAATACTGGCCATAATTAAACCTATACAATACACTGTCACTGGAATGACATCACATTCCCCCTATTAGAAAAATACTTCTCTAAATGAAATGAGTGTTGAAATGTGGCTTGGATCATTAAAAAATTGCAATGCTCTCTATCTTCATTTTTCAGTCTCACCTCACGGTCTCACAAAATATAAATTCAAAATCACAACTTCCAAGACTTACCTCTCTCAATATTTATCTATTTCTTCTGTGTTTCTCATATACATATCCTGATGTCATAGACAGTCCTTGCACAGTGCCACTTGACCATCGCGGAAGTCCCTGCAGGGACAAAGACGTCTGTACTTAAGGGAGTGTCCTGCGCAGCTATAAAGCAAGGGTTCTTCCTGAAGGCTACACTCCTGTTGCACCACCGAGAAGGCTGGAAGGATATGGTTGATCTCAGAGTTTACCACCTTGCACTGCACCTCTAACCTGAAGGGTGATAGTTGAAGAGTTAAGGTGTCAAGAATGCATCACTGAGCAGGTCATAACAGCTAACATAGGCCTTATCCCAAATTAGAAAAGGTAGTTATTTGTATTTAAGACAAAACAAAACCAGACAGAAGAGATTTTTCATGACTTTCCTCACTACCAATGCTAAATTTCAAAGAAAATGAAGACAAAAGGGAATTAAAAGGTAGAAAAAGATTTGGCAGAAGAGAATAAATGGCACTGACACTGGAGGAAAGGAAAAGGAAACAGAAAGAATTAACTCAAAAGACATTCACAGTGGGGGGTGTAACTATCCCCAATAAGCTTTCAATTTTGGGGTTTGATCACTATAAACATGTCTGAACTCAAGTGTCTGGTATTACATATTGTACAGTATATGTAAAAAATAATGCATCCATCAAGTTTCAGTTCATAGATACAAATTTAAGAACTCAGGTCACTTCTGTATACACTAGCTCTGTTTTTAGGCCTGTTTATGCACAATGTTAACTTTAAAGGGAACCTCTTCTGGTTGTTCCCCTTTTACGACAAGCTCAGTGGGTACCGAATAAGTAAAAAAGAACATTCTATACAGGCATGCAGGGAGCATTGCTTTTCTATTAACTTTCTTATAAATGCTCAAGTCTGATCTAAATCCAGTAAAAGTCATATAATTGTAAATCAGAATTTTGTTAATAGAGAGACAGAGCAAAATGTTCCTAACAAAGTTGATGGCCCCTATGAGTGAATGAAAATTCATAAGTATCTCAGCACTGAGACTTTCAGTAAGCATTATCGATCTGCCTAACTAATTTCCACTCAATCGAAAAAATTTGCAAATATCTGATTTAAACTGTAAATTTTAGTGGTGAAGGCATTTGATGAGAAGAGGTTGCTTGTCTAGACAAAAAGCTTCATTAAGACTAACTTTAACTGTTTGACTTTACTTTTGTTTCACTTACCCATGCAGAGCATCCTTGTTGTTGATGAAGCGGAAGTGGGCAGGTTCACAGATTAAACCTACTAATCTGCAGGCATCAACACAAGACTGGCCTTCTTCCGATGCAAGCAGCCTTAGAGAGCTTAGTGGGGGCCAGACAGTGGGAGCCCTCACGTTGGATGCCCAGGTGAGGGATGTGGAGTTGGGCAAGGGGACAAACAGAGTTTCTATAAACCTGCTGCCACCACCATATACAATTCTCGAAAGGTTTGTAAAGATGACTGGATCCTCTGGCGCACAGAAGTCCTGCAGAAAGTTGCAATATATTTAATTTGTGCAATGGTATGATTTTCAAACTCTTTAACTTTTGAGTAATAACTAAATTGCTGCGTGAACATGCAGCAAGGTGAAGCTCATGTTTAAAAGGTCAAGCTTGTGATTTTGTTAAGCACGGGAAACAATCACTTTAGTTAGACATAGAAAATTGTTGTAAAGAATTAAAATTGCATGTGTGTAGAATAAAGGAAGACTTCTGTTTAAGGTACACAGTACAAGGTACACCAGACTGATCCAGGTTCTACAGGAATCCTTTTTCCATTCTCCTAAATATATTAAACACATTATACTATATTGACTATACAAGCACCCAGTGCAAGTATCTAGGCAATCTGATGAAACATCCTTATAGAAATGTAACATGGAGAACAATGGAAATACCTTCTATAGTAATTAAACAGTGTATGCGTTCTGTAACTGTGAATCTAATTCTAACCAGAATGTATGTCTTTTTTTCTGTGATTGCACAAGCTGCCAAACAGTTAAGATTTCAAGCTGTCTTCATTATAATATTTTCCATTTCCACTTATGTTGTTAGTAGTAGCTTCCACAGTAGTGTCAGAGGACCCTCTGCTTTAGACAAAGGACAACTATATGGCTCTGATTCATATCAGTTAGAAAAAATCTTTGACAGACAAACATGCACACGCTGAGATACATGACATAAAAGTATAGATAACATAATGATAATAACTGAAACAGAATAATTACCACACATGTAAATATGAGCATTTAAAGAAGATTGTGAGAGTACAAAATAAGGGTTAGGTTAAATAGAGCAAAAAGGAAAATCTATGTCTGTGTCGAGTAATGTTGTAGTGACATGCACTGGACCCCACCTGGTTCTGTACATAGGCATGTACTCTCTCCAGCATCCCCTCACAAGTGTACTCATAAGGCAGGTAAGGCTCAACCTGAAATCATACAAATTTGCACATAAGCCCATTTTACGAAAACATTTTTACGTCTACATTATTTCTTGTGACACTGCATATGTTAAAGTATTTGTTTGTGTCACTTTTGAGTCATTATTCAGACATCCTCCTCTGCTTGTTCATTTCCGAAGATGAATATTTCCTATTGTTACAGCTTGAAAATTCATCAGGCTGTATTTGCATAAAAATAGATAATCGAATCCCGTGATATATCAGTTTTATAACGAAAGCACAATTTTGATTGACCTAATTAGCTGTGAGATGAAAAGACTATGTATCTTTTGTCATTTTCACAAATACTAACATGTTAAATATAGCCTGATAAAGACTGATAAAACGCAGGATAAATGTAAAACCACAATGATAAAAAAAATGAATTAGCTATGTTGACAAATGTTTGACATTTAACAAATATATTGCAGATGGTCAAAAAAGCTTCAAAATTACAAGTTCTATTCTCACATACTTGCAAAAACAACAACTTTGCTCATTGTATTACTTTTCCTTTGTCAGGAGTTTTAATTGAGGACTCAATGTTTGCCTTTTTGTCCAGTTTTTAAAGGATGACATATCATTTCTTACTAATCAATGTTGAAAATGTATTACTTGTCATTATGCAAAAAAAGGTTCAGAATAATAGCCCAATTACCATCCTCATAATGTTACTATATATTTAGGGTGTTACATTTTGCTACACTGTGTTCAAACAAACTTCTGAATGGTCAAAGAGATGAATATGAATGGTCAAGCGATTTAAACAGTCAGCAATATCTGATTTACATCTCTCCTCATTTGATATCTCTTTCACTGCACTCTAGCCATTGTGGTCACTGTACATCTTCACTTACATCTTATTAGTGTCTAGTATTTATTGGTGTTTCTCTTTCAAATATATATTACATTGTATCAAAGTATTTGCAAGCTTTAATCTTTTGCAAGGTTTGTAAAGTATAAATTTCACTAGTAACTAATTTCAAACACAATCAAATCAATTTAGGGTAATTGTGTGCACTTTATGTCAATTACTTAAAATTATGTTCGTCAACTCATCTACTGAAGTCATTATGCATGCATCCAACTTTTTCTCCTCATCTCAATTATATCCATATTCAAAATCATAATTGTATAATCATATATAAAGAATAATAATGTAAAAAATCATAGCTCCCCCAGCGACACCATTACGGAATAAGCGGTTACGATAATGGATGGATGGATAATCATAGCTTCAAATTCTTAATAAAATTTCTTATTCCATCTCGAATCTCCAAAATTTTTAGGGGCAATATGAAACATAATGTGGTACTCCACTACTTGAAAAAGTAAGTATAGGTAAATAGTATACAGACAAAAAAGAGAAAATCTCTCAGTGTGTGTGTTTGTGTTTGCTGTGGCACTGTGCCTCCAGGGGTCCATCAATTTTCTTTTAGATATGATTGAAGAAGTGCAGTTAGCCAAAGCTGCTCAAATAAAAGCTTTTCAGACAACAAAGACAAGACAAAGCAATGAGAGCAACTATCACACCTACATCCAACATTATAAATAACATCTTTGCTCTTATCTCTATATACATATTCTCTAATCTGTTGAATAACATTTTCGATCACATACTGTTTAAAAAGGTAAAGCAGACAGCTTTGTCATGGTCACTTCCCTTTCTGGAGTTCTAAAATTTTCTTATATTGTTTCTGCTATTGTGTCTAATCATATGCAAGACATGGAATTCCATTATGGAATACATAAAGGTTAAATATCATGAAGCAGAAAGTAGAAATGCTCAACACATGAGACTCATGGTGTACTGAGTACATTTCAGTGTATGAGCTACAGTTTCCTTTCCTCTCATTTTATTTTATTAATGTATTCTGATGTCATTTCTGCCTGCTTAACCCAATTTAACATTTTAATTACAACTGCTCCCGATTTTCTATAATCTCCTTCAGTATAAATACATATCACTGTTGCACAGCCTAAATGCCTAAAATAAAAACATGAATTAGAAATAAACACAAAAAGGTGGGTCATGACAGTCACAACTGTTGTAAGCATGGTTTTCATCATCAATTATACATAAACATAGTTCATCATCATAACAGAGCACCGAAACTGAAGATGACTTGTTCTCTAAATTTATATTTACTAAATCTATCTAATTTATATTTTACTAAATCTAAATTTGTATACTGCTTTATATTAGTTATGTTTAGCTTATCTACTTTTGCAATTACCTTGGTCCTCATGATTTCTTTTATTGCAGAATCAAACTCAAATGAGTTGTTGTAGTCCACTGTCATGACGTGTGGTCTGCCTATGTATCGTTCTGCATATGGGTGCTGGGAGAAAACCTAAAAAACATTCAAGACAAAAGATACCCTTTAAGGTCTTTAAAACAGGAAGTGAGCTTGTGTTGAAACTTCCATACATTGATATATGTACAGTTAGCGGTGTCAATAAATCTGTTTGCGTGAAATGCTAATTTAATCTGATGTTTGAATCAAATTGCTTCAAACTGAAGCCTCATTTCAAATCCTATTTAATGTTTACCACAGTTCTTTCGGTCGGTATAGGGGATCATTTGATGGCATGGGCAAAATATTTTCATCATTGAACACTTTTTACTTACCTCTCTAGTGGTGGGCTTGCCTCTGAAAAAATCATTATTCAGTGAGCTATGTGGTGGCTGGAACCTGGGCTGCAGGAAAATGCAACCGTTGGCTATTGCTTCAAGTGGAGCAGGGCCTTCATATGGGAAACCGAAGCCAATGAAGAGCTAGGAAAAAAGATAGACTTTCTATTTCTATAGAATGTTTTGTATATATACAAAAGGTTACAAAATTAATTGAAAAATTAATTCGGAATAGTCTTTCATGGCAAATTATATCATTTTGTATGTATGTTATGCTTTCAGTCTCTTACCTTGGCCTTGCGGAGCAGTTGCTGCAGCTCATGCTGGGGCAGTAGACCATGGTTTTTTACAAAGGCTGGGACCTCTGGAGGTCTCTGGGTCTCATAGTAAACAGTGCCATGGACTTCCATGTACCTGTGAAGAATCTCCATGAAACTCTCTTTGCCCTGTTGAAAGGTAAGTGGAAAAAGAGGTGTCAGTAAGATCAAATAGGAGAGATGTGGCAGGAGGGAGGTGTAACCATCCAGAATTTGAAACCAAACCAGAAGCTGTTATATTTTATTTTCATTTTAGCACATTGACTTATCAACCAAAAACTAACAGAACACAAGAGGAGTTATATTCTCTCTTTATTGGTAATTTTTCTTTCAATATTTTCATCACTTTTGGCTCAAGATGGTTAAGCTTTGTAATTCCATACATATATCCCGACTGTAAATATGTAATATTAAAAAAACTGAAGTCTGAGGAGATTGCTTGAACATTGATTGATTGATGTTGTTCATTTCCCTATTTCCAAATAATCAAAGATTTACTTTTATCAAAGTGAATTATGAAAAAAATAGAGATCAATTGTACACACAGGAAATATGACATAATGAACCCTTAACCCTATAATTTCTTTCTTAAAATCTAAAGAGAAAACATTATATTAAAATATGACAGCACATAGAAGTATCTATAAACAAAACAGACACAGTTTGATTGCCTATGTAAAACTTTTAGTTAAACACTTGCAGTGTAATAAAAAAAAAGTTTATCATTAACTGAGCAATTGTGCTTTTTTCCCATGCTTCCAACATGTGACATACGCAGAAATCCGCATATCGATGTCCAGCAAACCATTTCCAAATGTTGCGTAATTGATAACGGTTTAAAAAATATTTTCAATACGAATATTGGAAGCTCATCTTAAGAATTTTTCTTCTGCTTGTTTGCATTGTTTGCTGCATTTAGGGCTTAAGATAATCTCTGAATTGGTGTAAAGCATACTGCCACTGGATTATAGTAGAGGCGAGTTCTCTGGAGAAATGATACGTTCTTCTCTATCTAGAAATCTGATTTACGAGTCTAGGTTGCCAAACTCAGCTAAATGGAAAAAAAGATCACAATTACTACGTAAGTAAAACTCTAAATGGTTTTGCTTTTACGGCAGGAAGTACCTTGTTTGACACTTTTGTATGACACCAGATATCTTTTCATTCATATCATTTGTAGGAACCTCAACTTAGTAGGACAGTTACACCCATGTGTTTAAAAGTGTTGCCCCATTTAAGCATTCTTTGTTTTCATAATCTTTTATAGTTTTTTTCATTGGCATATTTGTGATGTTTTATTTGTATATGTATGGACTGGACTTACCTTAAGATTATGAGCATCCCGTCAGCCAAAAGAAACAAAAAAGTAAAAAAAAGTAAAATAAATCCAGACAGTACTGTAGCCAAACAACATTTCAACAATGGGTGAAGAGAAAGAAAGAATAGAAAAAGGTTACATATACAACTCTTTGCCATTTAAAGTATCATTTTCAGATTCATATTGTGGTTTTTTAGCCTGTCATGGTTCCTTTCATAACCAACTGTGGTATAATATATAGAATTATGCTGGCCGGAAGTTGGTGGTAAACAATATCTTTATGATTATCTTAAGAAAAGAAGGGCTATTGGACTCACTCTATTCTTTTTTTTTCTGATAAGCAAGTGGATTTTGAATAGACAAAATCTAGCTGTAAATGTATTGCATATAACAGCTACATGAAGATGAACTGTAAAAAGACAAACAAATTATCCAAAGTGCTGGCAGTGTCTGCTTTTGCAGTACACTGCAGTGTATTTATGTCAGTAATGAACATATTTGTTTGATTTACTAATGTTGGGAAATAGTCTTCCCATACAATCCCCATAACTTGGACAACATTTTTATCCATCATTTGTGTGTCCCAATAATTTGACCTGGAGGGACAAATGATCTGATTCCGCATATGTATCTAACAAACTTTACAGTCATCTCCAGTTCAACAAAGAAATCTTAAACATAGACAACAACCACACAAAAACTCACATTCAGACCTACAGGCAATTTAGAGACTTTAACTCATCCAACATGAATTTTTTTGTTGGTGTAAGAAAGCCGAATTAGCTGGAGAGAATCAATACATACATGCAAATGCCACATAGAAAGGCCCAAGGGGATTCAAACTGTAAATCCTTTGGCTGTAAGGCAACGGTACAAAACACCACACCACCATACATGGTATGAAATGTTTGTTTATCGTATTGATGGATGTTGATCATTGTGTATTCTGCCATAATCGGATGGCCTATACGAGTGGTCAACAATTTGCAAATTTGTGAATATTCGATCACACTATTATAGAGTGGAAAGATAACCTAATGTGGCTTCAAAAAATGTGAAGTTCTTTGTATTAATATTAGTTAGTATTAGTTTTTCACTGTACCTTCCACATGCTGGCTTCCTTCCCATACACTACGGCCATGTTGTTGACTTTGTTCTGCTGAATGTTTCTCTTCTCTGTCTTGTTAAACTCCTCAGAAACAAAACCTATGAATGAGTTGTCTGGTGTATGGGCTGAGTGAACAGGTTGGGTGGTGGAACACAGAGTGAAAACAACCAAAAAAGGAAGAGAGGGGAGGCAAAACATTTAACAACAAATGCAGAGAAAGCAGAGAAGAGTAAAGCAGTCAACATCTTACACAGGATTTGAACACACAGGTACCAGGACAAGGGCAGATCAGGCATAGTGGGTAGCATATGACAGAGGAAGCAGCGTAGGAGAGAAAGCTGTTGCATCTGGAAGGGATGCTAGAGGCTGTAATTATGCTAAAAAAAGTTGCATAAAACACATTGCTCGAAATCAATTGAATAAAAAGTACAACATGCTCACAGTAGTAATAAAGTGGCTTAGAGTACTATTGCATATGTAGTAGGCGTGTCAACTGAAAACAGCCCTGTGTGTTCATCTGTACAGGTTTTGAGGGTAAAGAATAAAGAAATGATCTTGATCTGATCAAAGTATCTGTACTTAATTTGGAAACTACAGTAATGTATTGTGTACTGAACAAATAGGCTAAATGGCATGCTATGATGCTTGAAAGACGGTGAATGAAACTAAAGGTGTTCTCTTACGGAACATGGTCATGTACTGCCTAGGGTTGAGATTCCAGTAGCCCCAGTTTGTCCGGTAGCCGTGCAGAGTTGCATACTCCTCATGATTGTAAGCAGGTTCAGTCCCAAAGGTGTCAATCACTCTGATATGACATCTGTAAATAGAGCACAGCCCATTTCTGCACAATACTGTGAATGATGAGTTTACCATGAATACAATGTTTTTGAACATTCAGAAAGGGTGCAAGAGTAACATTTCATTTACTACCAAACTTTCAGGAAAAATGTTGAAGGGTGCACCAATTCAACAAAAACAGTTTGTACAGTTATAACAAGCTTGAATGAGAGGTTTTCCTGAAATTTACTTGAGCTGTCTTTTGGAGTAGTTCTCTCAGATACTTTAAAACATTCTAAAGCTCCTTTTTCTATGTTTGCTATATTTGTTTAGGTCTCTTATACCATGATCCTACACAGCTTCAATAATGTTAAGGTTGAGACCTGTGTGTGACTGATTGACCTCGAAGGGATTTTGATTGGGAGATCATAGTAAGGGTAAGTTAAATGGCTACTCAGCTGAGCGGTCCTCAAAAGTGAAGGAAATATGGCAATTTGTAGTGTTGTCATTGCGGCCTTGAGATGTAACTGTGGGGAAGCTATGTCAATAATTTAGAGCACATGTTTATTTTCAAAAATTATTTTTTTATTACCCTGCCAGCAATTCATACATCTCTAACTCGCAGATGTGGATACATAAAAGTCCTACGTTTCTCTTTATAGTATGAGTGAATAAAAATAAAGCAGTAACTGTTTACTGTGGCTTGTTCTGAATTCTCTTTGTCTTCATCATTATGTTCTCTATGAGACTCTTACATTCTGGTTTCAAAACAAATACTTTTATATATTTGGTTGTTTAACGAAAATAAAAACAGAAACACATTTTCCTCTGCCCCTTAGTAAGGTTTGTTAATGAGCAACTCTCATAATTAAAGATGAATTAATCAGACAGGCTTTGTATTACAGTTTGCTACAACAAAGAGTATAGGTACTTATAGAGAACCATTAGGAATTCAGTCAAATTAAAGCTGGAAACAACACACTGGAGCCTATCCCAGCTGACAATGGGAAGGGAACAGACAGGGAAGGGAACAGACAGAGCAAGTGTGTGTGTCCGCAAGTGTAAGTTTTTCTATCTTCTTTCTCTAAAATCTTGTTTGCTGTTGTGTAAGTGACCGAACCC